GAAAAGATATCTTTTCTCAACACTGTTCGTATATACAACCAGGTGCAAAAGAGTTTGGACTGGACAATTGCACCACCCTTCTCAAAAATGGAAAAATAGAGAAAGCTGAAAGAATCAAGAGGCCATATGGAAATAACATCAGAAGTCTAACATCAGAAGTATTTGCAAGACCGCCTACTGCCGCATACCTCCCAACGGCCGATATGATCCCACAGGGTGGGCCTCCTTAGGGCGCTGTCAGCCGGACAGTGTCGGCTGGCGGGGCCTCGGAGGAGGGCCTTCTCTGTGGCTGCTTCGACCCTGTGGAATCAGCTACCCCCAGAGGTCCGGACCTTACCCACCCTCATGGCCTTCAGAAAAGCTGTTAAAACCTGGGTGTTCTGGCAGGCCTGGGGGCTGTTGACCTCATTGTTAAGGTCCAGCCCCGATTAGAAATGTTATGTGTGTTGGGAATTTTAAACTATTTTTATTTATTTATTTGTTAAATTTCTAGGCCGCCTAATCCCGGAGGTCTCCGGGCGGCTTACAAAGAAAGAAAAAAAGAAAAAAGAGAAGCAAAATAGAAGAATAATTTAAAAATTCCCAACACGCATACATTTCTAATCGGGGCTGGACCTTAACAATAAGGTCAACAGCCCCCAGGCCTGCCAGAACACCCAGGTTTTAACAGCTTTTCTGAAGGCCATGAGGGTGGGTGAGGTCCGGACCTCTGGGGGTAGCTGATTCCACAGGGTCGGAGCAGCCACAGAGAAGGCCCTCCTCCGAGGCCCCGCCAACCGACACTGTCCGGCTGACAGTGCCCTAAGGAGGCCCACCCTGTGGGATCTTATCGGCCGTTGGGAAGCATGTGGCAGTAGGCGGTCTCGCAAACAACAGTTGGCACCTCTTACCTGTCTATCATGTGGCAAAGGTATAAGAAAAAGAAAAACACAACGTTTTAAAGTGCTAAGAACGTTGCACGTGAGTTCACAAATAGGCATTCAAATGAGAATACCCACACGACACAATTCTGCTGGATCGTTAACATTTCTGGATGCACGAATTGTTGCTTCCACAACTCTTCATCAATTCATCTCAACCGAAAATATGCCAAGTGTTGGATGCAAATATACAACTAGTTCAAGATGGGGTGTGGGGGGGGGGGGGTAAGCATGACTGGCCATCTGAAAAGTGCAGCCGGAAGAGCATTTTACCCCCTTTCCCAGATGAAAACCCCCACAGATTCCGAGGGGGGCAGCTGCTTTTCTGCCTTAGTGGCTGACTTGTAGCCCTGCTATCATTGTGGAAGGAAGGTTCAGAAAATGGGCCCACAAATGCAAGATATGAAATCAAAGCTGCTTTTACATGCACTGTAAATAGTTCGATGTTCTAGAACAGTGTTTCTCAACCTTGGCAACTTGAAGATGTCCGGACTTCAACTCCCAGAATTTCCCAGAATTTCAAGTTGCCAAAGTTGAGAAACACTGTTCTAGAAAGACCTCTCCACTTAACCATCCATTTAATGGGTCAATCCATCGATCGATTACTCCATCCAATTAAATCCCCTGCTCCAATGAGGCAGAAGGCTATTTTGGTAGAACAAAGCCAAACAGTCATCAGGCTGGTTGCCACCATGGCACCTCCAAGTAAGCCAAAAACATCATAATTACCTTCTGATCCTTCTTCTTATCCATCATCCTCAGCCTTTTCCTGGGGGCTTCTTGACCTTCAAAATCTTCCGTGGGTTTCCTTGTCCTCTTTACAGGTTTCCTTTTATTTCCATATAAGTTACCTTGGAGTAGGGATGGGGAGACTTACATGAAAAAAGTCTGAAGCTCATTTAGAAATTATCTCGAACCAAAGCAGTTACACGTTAATGTTCTAAGACAGCCGGATAAGGTTTATTAACCCTAAACATCTTGTGGCTCCCCACTTCTCTTATTAAAACCAGCCTTTGCAGCGCACACCTACCACAGCTGAGCTTATACACAAAAACATCCTACACCTCTCCATACCTCTAATATTAATTTTTTTCATTTTAATTTATAATGGATCTACAACCAGGGGTTTTGCTTCGAAGGAACTTCTTTTAAGAAGCACACTAATGCCGTATAAAGCAATTATCCCATTTTCTGAGATTATTCTGCGATAGGACATCACCCTAAGGCTGGGAAAGCATAAAGCATAAATGCACGCGTTAAGTGAATTTTTTTTATATAAAGACCAAGGGAAGAGGAACATTTTAGACAAAGACTGTGAAAAAGAGAATTTTAAGTACCTCCTTGCATATCTATACCTGAAGCCAGCGGGTCTGAGTAAAACCCATTTGAAATAATAAAGTTCCATGTTACAAATTTTCAGAGGATCACAACTAGTTTATACAACCTATTTCACTAATTCTCCTTTATATGTAAAGATTCTATTCTCTATCCCCCAAATCCCCTATTCAAGTGTACCAAAACTTTCTAATTGCCGTTTATTGTTCCCCAATTATATTTTTCAGCCTAGGGGCAAATTTCTATTACTTAATTCGGAGCCACGTGACTTCATTCAAATGCTTTGGGGGGAAAAAAAAATCAAGATTCTTCTGCTGGTTAATTAAAATTTCAAGCCTCAAAACAGATCTTGCTCTCCTATAACATGTTTTATTTTTTTAAAAAAA